TAATAATAATAATTTTTTTAAATATATGAATATAATTAATAATTAATAATAATTATTATTAATTGTTCAATTTTTTAAAAATATTCATTGATTTTTAAATCATAAAAATTGTAATTAAATAATTATTTTTTGTTCATTTTTTAGTATTATTAGTATTATATATTATATATTATATATAATAGTATATTAGTATATTAGTAATAAATGGAATTCTTAGAAATAATTCAATATTGTAAAAATTGTCTTTTCTTTTATAAATTGATTAATTCAATAAAAATTAGTTTACGATGAAAATTGTGAAATAATATATAAAAATTAAATTAATAGCTATAAATAAAATAAAAGTTTCGAAAAATGAATTCTTTTTGAATTTATATCTTTTATTTTATTTTCATATTTTTAACTTAAAACAATTATATTTATAGGTCATTATATTTTATTAATGCATTTATATTATAATATAAAATAAATAAAATATTTAACATAAAATATAGAAAATGTTAAATTATTAAAATATTAATGAAATAAACTTAAATTTTTTCAAATTCTAAATTTAATTTACTATTTTTTGATTAACTTCTATTATTATAAGAAAAGTAATGTAATTCTCATATTAAAACAATATTAATATAATATTTCTATATTATATAGTTGTAAGATAAAATGAAAACTATATATAAAAAACAAATGTAAAGATCTTACATTTATATATTAATTTAATTTTATAAAATTAATTTAATTTAATTTAATTAATTTTATAATATTATTTAATAAAATAAAATGCAAAATTTATTTTTTATAAAATAAATTAAAAATTAAAAAAATATATAAGAATAAATTCGTTTCTATTAAAAATATAAAATATGATCATATTTATCAAATTCAGAAACTTATAAATTTTATATGTATAAAGAAATTGTTCATTAAATTCATTTTACATATTTATAACATAAAATGTTAAATATTTAAATTTCACATTTACAATTTAAGATTTATGTATTTATAATGTATTTATAATATATATATATATATACATATTCAGCAAAGTTTTGAAAATCTGAAAAATTTATGAAATGTATAAACTTAACAATTTTTTAAGAATATATTTTTTAAAAATGTTATAAATTTTTTCTTAATATTGTTATCCAATAAAATTTATTATTGAATAATATTATTATCCAATTATTATCAGAAACATAATTTTAATTAATTTTTAATCAATTTTATAAATTGAATAGAATATTGTTGACAAAAATAGATTTTTTGACGATTGATATTCAATTAATTGAAAAGTATTCTTATTCTTTTATGTATGTAAAATGTTTTTTATAAAAAATATAACGCAAATAATTTCAAAAATTATCTTCTTAAAGAATGAAAATTGAAAATTAACAATTATATATATATTTTCTTAATAAAGAATGAAATTTATTTTAATACATATCTAATTATTGATATAATACGAATTAAATGAATTATATTAGTATATTATATAATATTTACATAGAAAGTTCCGAAAATAATAATAATTAATAGTATGTAAACGAACACAAGAATACTTTCAGAAATAGCTACAAATATATACATCTTTTTAGTTTTTGAAGTTACTGTATATATCTATTTTCATTAAATGTTCTTATATATTTTTTATCTATTTAAAATAATAAGTTTAATATAGATTGTTTAATTTAAAATTAAATATGAAATAATATGAAACATCTATATCCCAACAAAGAAAAATTAAAATACTAGCAACGAAAAAATTCAGAAAAGAAAATGATTCAGAACGGCAATATCCCGAAGTGAAATCATACGATTTCACATTTGTCTTATCTTAGAACTATATAATATATATATAATATATATAATATATGTATATAGATATATTACATTTATATATTTTTAGATAATTCTAATAAAAATTTATAATTTATTATATCATATATCATGGTTTTTTCATATATTCTATATACAATTATAAAAATGTTAATATATTCATGAAACATCTTTAGAAGATTGATTGAAGGCTGAACATAAAAGTTTTATAGAAAAATATCAAGTTTATTTATAAACAATTGAAATTTATTTTCTTAGATGAAGATATAACAATAAAATATATATATTGTACAGTAAATATATATATGTATAATATAATAAGAAATATGTATATAACATATAATAAAAAATATAATAATATTATAAAAATATATACTTAATAATATAAATATAAATAAATATAAATATAATAAAAGTATATATACATATTTTAATAATTAATTATATAAATAATAAATATTAAGAATTTATTTATATGATATTATTTATAATTGAGTTATTTAAAAATGTTTTTATTTAAAATTAATTTTTAAAAATAATATATATTTTTTTATCGAAATTATATATAATTTAATTAATTTAAGAAATAGTTAAATAATAATATAAGATATAATAATATAAGATAGTTAAATAATAATATAAGATATAATAACATAAGATAGTTAAATAATAATATAAGATATGAACAACTTAAATAATATTCATTTATCTTTTCTCATTTTTTAGTAAAGAACGAATATTTAGTAAAAAATATTCTACAAATAGATAAAACAAAATTTTATTTTAATAATTAAGAATTATATTTTTTTTGAATTTAAATTAAGCAATTCGAGAACGTGCAATTACATATGCAATTACATATGCAATTACATATAATGTTTTATTAACCACTTAATTATCTAAAACTATTTTTTTTTATAATTTCATTATAAATAATAAATATTAATCTGATAAATCATTAGTAAAGATGAATTGATAAATTGAATGAAAACATTAAAAAAATTAATGAAAATAAAATATTGTTAAATACATTTAATGATTTAATGATTAATGATTTTGTTTAATAAAGAAAAATAAGAAATGAAAATGTTTTTTTTAATTTTTTATGTTCAGAATGTAATATATTTCAAATAATTTATTGGATTAACATTTTATTTATATTCAAAAATAAGATATTTTTATGATATTTATTTAAGTGATAATTAATAATTCAATATCTATTTATTTTAAGTAGTAAAAAATAAAAAATTTTCATATTAAAATAATTTTCTAAATTAAATTTTATTATTACATGAAAGATTATTCAAGAACATTTTAAAAAATTGATATTTACGATTATCATAAGATATTTTATATACTTATCTGTATATATTTATGATAATAAATAAATAATAATCATAATAAATGATAATTTAAATAAAAATAAAAGATATTATAAAAATCAAGGTATTATAGAAATATCAAATGTATATTTAATTATTATTAATTATATTAATTATATAAATTCATATTATTTGATATAATAATGAAATATAATAATAATAAAAATATTTATATTTTTCAATTATTAGAAAATTATTGTTGTTTATATTTTTTATTTTTTATTAATAAAGTTTTATTATATGTTTTTATATAATTATTCAAAATGTTTAAATTTTTTCAAAAATTTAATTTTGTAATTATATTATCATTGCAGCAAATGAATAATATGACTATCATTTATTTATTTATTTTCTTTAATAACATTTGCGTACAATACAATATATTACAATTTTTTTTGTTTTTAATCTTACAATAGTAATTTTAATACAAAATTGTATGTAAAAATGTATATAAAAATTTTATAATTTTATAATTGAATAATTTTTAAAATGAAATTTAATAATAAATCAATAAGTAAATCAATAATTTATATTAAACCAATGATTAACTCTTTAAATAATTATTTTTCTTATTATTTTAAATTAACTTTTATATTTTATATTTTTATATTATATTCTATTCTTCATCATACATCAGTTAATATATTTTTTAATTAGATTAAAGTAAATAATTTTCAAAACAAATATCAAAATGTTTATTATATTGTTATTTTTCGTATAGAAATTATATTATATACCTTTTATTACCTTATATTATATACTCTATTATATTACCTTAACAATTATTCTATGTGATTGTTATTTTAATAATAATGTAAATTAATATCAAATTATTAAAAGTTATTATTAAAACATTATATTAATATCATAATTTCAATAATAAATATCATAATAATATGTAATAAATATTTTAAAAAATTTAAGATTTAAAATGCATACTAAAATAGAATGTATTATAATTATTAATTGATTAATTAATATATTAATTATTAATAATTATAAAAAATAAATAAATAAAAATTTCTGTTAATGTGATTTTAAAATATAATTTTAACATATGAAATCAATATTTAAAAAAATAATTATTTTATAATTATATTAATATTCACAAAAACATTATGTAACATATTATATAAACATTATAAATATTTTTTTATTCCAAATTTTTAAATAAGAATTTAATAAATAATTTAATAAATAAGAATAATAAAAAAGAATAATAATAAATAAGAATTTTTTATTAACATTATTAATTAAATCTTTATCTTATTTTTAGAAACTCTTATTCTTACATTATTCTAAAATTCTTAATATTAATTAAAAATTCAATTTCTCAAGAATTTTAATTTCTTGCACAAAAGATATCTTATAACAACCCTTAAAAAACTTAATGATATCCTTATTACACCCTAGAAAGTTCATTTCTCTATTACGCAAACTACACAAATTCACATCCATTCAATATACTTCGCATACATTCAAACCACCAAGAAATAATTGTAAAAAAATAATTGTGAGCATTAATCGAATTTAAAAAATTTTTTTTCTATCCAAAAATTTAATTTATAATCACATTTTTGTCAATTATCAATGAATCGAATTTAAATAGCTAAAGGTTCAAAATTCAAAAAGAATTCACGTGGATTCATAGAGTCAAGTTCGTGGTTTACCAGGGAAAAAGTTTACTGTTTGATCGGCAACAGAGGCGCGGAGACAGAGGAAAGAGAGAAAGATTCGCCAGACAGTCTCATCAGCATAGGTGATGGGTCGAGATGCGAGTGGGGCTAGAGCTAGTATAAAAGAGGGTCCGTGGCATCTGTGGAGCATCAGTCCTCAAATCCAAGGAACAGCAGCTACCATGAGGGCATTCATGGTGAGTCGAATATTTCTCGTCTGCTCACTGACCCTTCTTTATCAATTTTCATTACATTCATTTCATTTCCTTTTTTTCTTGAACTTTCTTTAGTAATTCAAATTTTTAAAATAATTTTTTATAAGATTTAATACAAGAAAAAGAAAGCTTAATATTGATGTAAAAGTTAATATTTAATGATAAAGATATTGTTAATATTGAATTCAGGTTGATATTTTACTTAAGAATATATAAGGATATGAAAAATATATATTCATATGAAGAATAAATAATTTATTATTTTAGATTATAATCATAATATCATTTTTTCTCATAGATTTTGTTAATTTTATATATAAAATGAATATTTTGTTTTCTTTTTATATATAAATAAAATATATATATATAAAATTTTTATATATAATAAAAAATTTCTAAAAATTGTAAAAATAATATAAAAATAAATCAAATAGATCAAAAAAAAAGCTTAGAATTTTATATACTATACTAAGTTCTTTCTCTTTTTCTTTTTTATATTTTTGAATTGTTTTTTTTAAATAATTATACGAACTATAATTTGCAAAAATTATTTTTAATAAATAAAATTTAAATATTTGTAATATCTTTTGAATATCTTACATATTTTTTGAAAATCTTATTTATATTTGTTACAAAATTATGTATACAGAATTAATTTATAAAAAAAATACAAATTTAAAATATCTATTAGTTGCATCAGATTATTTAAAATTAGTCTAAATTTAAAATAATATAAATATAAGTCTCAAATAATAATTATGAAATGAATATTTTTCAATAAAGAATTTCATATTTTAAAATCGAAACTATAATTTTAATATATTTATAATAAATTAAAATTATTCGAGAAGAAAAAAGGTTAATAAAAAATTGATATTGCAGAATAAACCATAATCAATTGTTTCTTGTGAAAGTAAACATATATGAAAACCAAAAAAATAAAAGAGAAAGAGAAAAATAAGAATTTGTGTAGAATATAGAAAAGGAGTTTTACAGGAGAAAGTAGAGAAGAGTGGGAATGATGATGACCCAGAAGATGACACAGATTTGATATCAATACAATCAATCGTATTAAGATACCTATCTATTATGAAAGTATAATAAGAAACACTTTCGAATTGTACGTAATATCATTTCCTTAATTTCAAATGTATTCTTTGAGAATATTTTTTTCTTTATCTTCTTCTTAATTTAAAACATTTATTTTTTAATATCTTTTTATAATTATTTTCTTTATATTAGTTTTATATTTAATTGACAAATTAATTGATTTATTTAAAATCTCAAATTTATATTCTTGGATATTACTTTGAAAAAATATATGTATAAAAATGTTCTAAAATTATTGATATTGTTTTTTCTATATTATTCTTCCACTTTAATATATTTATAATTTTTCAATATCTATTTTTATTCATTTCCATTTTCTAACTTAGTTTCTTATATCATTTCTTCACTTGACTTCAATTTTTTATTTAACTGTTTTTTACAATCCTTTATTCTATTTTATAATTCTATTAATATTTCTATTTTACTCCTTTACTCTTTCTATCTTTGTCATAGTTTTGTCTTATCTTTCATTATTCTAATATTTATTCCATTTATTTTATTTTTCTTTTCTAATCTCTTTTATTAGTTTTTTATTTTATTCAACTATTTCATTCCTTATATTTCTTTATTATGCTTTATTATGCTCTATCACTTCACTTCAGTATTTTCATTATTTTTCACTCTATATATATATATATATATTTTTTTCTCTTTCTTATCCTGTAA